TATCATATAATTCGATTTTTTTTGTTAAATTTAAATAAATAAAATTAGTGTTTTTTAATAAATTTTAATTTTTTTTTTAATTGTATATTTATAAATTTAAGTAAATACAATGGACAACAATGGACATCGAAATTATATATCTATTGCTTAATCAATGAACAATGGACAGCATTTTTTGTCCAGTATTATCTATTGTCCATTGTCCAGTCATGACAACACTGAATTAATTACATTTTTTTTTAATTTTTACTTAGAAAACATCATAAAATTTATTATAAAAGTATTAATTTTTTAATAATTTATTTTAAAATATTTAAAAATAATTAAAAATGATTATAATTAGTAAATAAAATTGTCTACAAATTTGTAGGTAAAGCAGTTGAAAAGATAGAGTATTTAATCTACTAATTAGTGATTAATCACTTTCTTATAAGATAAGAATTTTTATCATTTAAAAATATAAGACAATATTTATTATAGACGTATTTTTGAAGATTAAATTTTAATTGATTTATTAATCCAATTTATAATAGTTTCATAAAATAGTTTTTTGATATATTGTAGAGGTTAATTCTTATAAAGATTCAGATATTCATTTATTATATTTATCTCTTAACTATAAAAAATAAATTTATAAATATAATTAGAATTAAATATAAAAATAAAATAAATTAATATTTAATAAAATTAATAAAACTTACTTTTAATTTAAAGATTTATTAATTGAAACATTTAAAGGTTATAATTGAAATATAAATCCTTCAAAATAACAGTAATATTAGTATTTTTTTTCTTTAAATACCTTTTAACAGAATTAATAATATATGCTAAAAATAAATATACAACTAATAATAATTGTGGATTAGAAAATCTTTTAGCATGTGTTTTTTTAAATATTTTCAATTTAATATAATATTTATTTTTATTTATCCATCCAATTGGATTAGAACAAATAATAACTTTTAATGAAAAATTTCCTTTTAGAATTTTTTAAGTTTAAATACAATACTACTTCGGTTAATTAAGAATTCCTAATATTATTAACAAACTTCAATAATATTTATATTTTTTAAACTGTAAAATAGTAAGAGTATATAATTAGAAAAGAAAGATGAATATACAGTATAATGGAATATTTATCTTCAATCACCTTAAAATGCTTTCATTATATATTTGAAACATATGGGACCTTTGTAATAGAAGGGGGAACTGCCGAAGAAAAAAATGAAAAATAAGCTCATGCTAAATCTGATATAAAAATAAAATTTGCAAAGGTCCCATAAAAATTAGTAAATATTTGGAAATTTTGATTAAAATTAATTTTATCTTTACAGCATTATATTTTACGGAATATAATTAATTATTATAAAAAAAAAATAAAAATTAAATTGACGGTAATATATAGTATTCAAAATATTAATTCATGTGTGCTTCACCAATTGTATAAACGAACAATTTATTTATCCGAAATTTATCAGAAAAGGTTATGATTACCTTGATTGAAGAATATGTTTATAGTAAAAATTTTTTTATTTTATTTTTCTTCCTATGTAGACCAAGTCGCGGACGGCTGGAGTTCGACTCGAGGTTACTAGACTTAATTGCAGTCAACTTTGTTGGGCTTCGAGTAGGTACTTCAAGAAGGGGGTCGACGGTAACCTACTCATGGGTGTTTAAAAATATTTACCATATATACTGTATAAATATACAATACACTCTGTATATTCAATTACTAAATTATACATTCAATACTTAATTGACCCATCCTTGACTTTTAGTGCATTCCTCACCATTATCACTTTATTACTGTATATAAAATTGATCATTGTATACAATTATTCTTGGGATATTCAAAACAAATTTTATGCCTATACAATCTAGAAGAAATTAAACTGTATTTCAAAGAATTTCTCTGTGTAAAATCGGAAGCTATAGGTAATATCACACGAAAAAAAAAAACCCCCCGAATCCTGTTCTTTTCTTCTTAAAAAGTATTAGACCGTTTTAATGGTGAAACTCGAACAGAATACCAGAGAGCTATAATCATTTCCGCTAATTTCAATATTTATAATTAAAAATTAGTGGAAATTGGAACAGATGGTTATAATGAAGAGGTGCTACTCGCAAGGGACACACTTGAAAAGATTATTTGGAGCATTCGACCAAGATGCACATCCTTGACGGAATTAATGGAATTAATTGGGTCGCTATTATTTATGTAACTATGCAGCTAATGAGTATACCGGGTAAAATTAAACGAATGCATCATCTACAAAAAAAGTAATTGATTAGAAAGAAGGAATTTATAAGTTTAAATTTAAATATTTGGGATTTATTGCGATGAACATTTAATAACAAATTATTTATGAGCATATTTCATTCTATTTGTAAGGTTAGTTTATTCTGTACAAAATCAAATATTGTTCCAAAAATAAAATACATTGTTTATGTGTCCCCTATTAATGTTCATCACCATTATTTTCCTTTCCTTTTATGTCGTTGTTATATATGCGTCCCACCGATATGATCACCACAGGCATTCCTCTAGTTATGCAATGAATCAAAGACAACTCTTTCAATTTATTAATTTTTTTTAAAGAATCTAATAAACCATTAATGTTATTAGGGCAACCAAAATTAACTTTCTCAAATTGTATAGTCAATAAACAATCCCTTTGACTACTAATTAATACTTCAATTATCCTATTAATACCAACATAATTATCGGTATGTAACCTTATTTCCTTTAGACTGCTTTGTTTCTCAATTATAGCTGACAATAGATTGCAGATTTTTATTCCATGTCGATTTATCCATGAAATGTCCAAGTATTCTAATGATTGACATTGTTTCGAAAGGATTTCCATGAATTCCATTAAATTCTTTAAGTGCAGATCATATCCATCGATAATACAGATAAAAGATCTTAAATTCCATAAAAATGTTTTCATGGACAACATTGGTAAATCAAGACATAATTCTTCGGAAGAAAAAAAACTAAAGCACGTCAAATTTGTGCTTTTTTCAATGAACATTGAATATAAACATGATAATAATTTTTGCGATCGTTTATTACAGCATTCCGTTTCCAAAGGTCCTAAAGAATCTATAAATATATCCAAATGTATCGAAGAATCTTGTTCGAAATGATACTTTTCCAAGATCCAACGTCGAGTAAATTGTTCAAGTACTTCGTAATCTAATTCTTTTAAATATCCTGGATAATTGATTCTTGGAGAAGTCATTTCCGTACCTTCAATGTTTAAATATTCTTTTTGTTTCTCACTTAAACAAGAAATATAAGTGTTCATTAACTTCACGCCATTTGGTGTCGTCGGCATTAACGTGTCATTAAACGGTTGACTCCATAGCTTCGGTAAAATTCTATCTCTCCAACTTTTATTTACTCGAATACATGAGTACCAATCTGGATTGGCGAAGTTTAATATCATATCAAAACATTCTAGTGAAAGTTTTTGGATTGACGACGACATTATTTTAGATAAAAAACTGTGATATATATATATATATATTTTCGAGAACAAAAAAAAAAAAAAAAGATGATGTGGTCGTGGTAAAAAAATAAAATAAAAATAAATAACTGTACTATTCACCTATATATCATATCAATTTTATTTATTATGCAACAATTTTTTTTTTTTCGTTATCTTTAATGGAGTTTATCAATAAAATAAATTTAACAAATGTTTCACAAGAAAAAAAAAATCCAAAATAATCTCTTATCTAATAATAATGCACCTTTATGAAAGTGTATATACTTCAACATTTGATAAGATGCCGTTTAATTCCGAGTATTTTAATGGCTTCACATGATAATATATTAAAATGTGTAACATTACAATGCAGAAAAACAATCAAGTATTACAAGTTTTTGATTTTTCTTATCTTATCTTTTTTAAAAATTTTTAGAGTAAAATGATAAAGACAAAACAATTTTTTATTTTCTTTGTTGATTTACAGATAATGTGCTTTTTATTTTTTTTTTTTCTTAAAAAAAAAATAAAAGAAAGTTATGAAAATCCTTTTAACGGAGTGTCCAAATTTGAAAGATTATGTACTTCGATACGATAAAAGAATTGTTACTGCGCCAAAAAAAATATTTGGTGATCAAATGAAACATTTTCTAAATATCGATTATGTGGAAAGGTTGTTTACTGAACACAATCAACCGCTTGTATGGATATAAATATAGAATGCAATTAAAAATTTTGATGTCGAAATTTAAGAGCAAAATTACTTAACCTATGCGGTGTACAGAAATCATATGATAGAACATTTGAGTTCCAATAGAAAACTTTTATCAAGGAATTTAAAATTATCCTTTTTTTTTTTGTTTATTCACAAAATAACGACGACTTTAGGAAGTTTTATATCGCAGATTTTTTGATTTGAAAATTTTTCCCAAGTATATCTTGGTACAAGACCCGAGTCCACCCGGATCATCTCACCCTGAAATCAGTCAGTGCGGCAAATCGCTAAATTCATAAATTATGAAAGGGCCTCTTATTATGTAACCTTATCTGATATGATACTTCGCAAAGCTTATATGGAATTTATTAAGTAATTACTTAATAAATATTGCTATATGGGAAGTTTGTTAGGAAAATCAGGCCCTGGGATTTTTTCTAATAACATCAAAAATTAAATTGAACTTCCATTTGTGGAAAATTTATGTAGTACAGTTTTCGCGCGTTTTGCTTTTTATTCTTTTTTTTATTAAAAACAAGCCTTATTTTTTTTCATATTTAGATCAGTTAGTCACGAAGCATATCGCAAAAAGGACTAAATTTAAGACTGTATTTAATTTTCAGAAATGTTGAAAGACACGCCCGAACGTATTCATTAACATTGTGGTATTTATTCCAATATTTAAATATTTGTAATAATTTAATTTTGATAAGTTTACTTATTTCTTCATGAAATATGCGAACCCTTTAGCTTGACTTTACGAGAGAAAAATCCTGGTTCTATTTTTTTTTAAAAAAGCTTTCAAATATGGGAGGTTTGCTATTAAAATCGAACATAGTAAATCATATGATCCGTAATGTGATTTTAATAGCAAACCTCCCATATGATTTCTACTTATGAAACTACCGGAAGAACTGGTCACTTTAATTTTAGATTACCTCAAAACCTCCTTTGACCACAGTAACTGTTTTATAAGATAACAGCTATTGTAAGAAATTCCAATAACGAAATCACTTGTATCACAATGATATTGCTGAGGGCACATACCAAAAATAGTACCAGCCTTGGGCACCTTTTCAGTAAACTCAGCCGACGACGGAGTCGCGACTCTTATTATTCGACCGACTGAAATTATCATATAAGATTTGGCCAGAATTTTTTTATTTAAATTTTAGAATTCCGAGATGTTCTGAAATCAAATTTGGATCGGTCACAACACACCGGAGTCGACTCTGCAGACCGTCGAACCCAACGGCTGGTATCATAAATATTTTTAGGGTGAATCCCCAATCCAACGATAAATTATTTTCAGTCTTGGGGCGTACTGAAGACTAAGTTTTTTTTCATGATATAGAAGTTTTATGTTGTCGCTTATTAGCAATATTTACTATTTACGTAAAAAAAAAAAAAAAAAAAAAAAAAAAAATCCCAAATATATATACGATTTACGTTATATATATACACATAAAACTTTTAAATCATTTATTATAATCCTGAATTTCCAAAAAAGTTCACAATCTCAATTTATAATAATTGAATGCATTTTTCGGGAGTTTTAGAAATATTTGGAAGTTACATCTACTACTTTTGAATTTTGTAAATAGATAAAAAAAAAAAAAATAAGAATCACGAAAAACACAATACTCTGATGAATTGAATTTTATGCATGGATCATTGGATTTTTAAGGATCCATATAAACTAGTTGGTTGTTTAATATAAAAAAAAAATGAATCACGAGAAAATATTGTATGAATTTAGTGTGACAATAAATACAAGACCCTATTGAGTGAGAAATACTTAATAAAGAAAAGGTACGAAAATAAGGAAGACGCGTCGTACAGTACTTGTTAAATTGGCTAACGAATATATGAATACCAGCATCAATCAAGAACCGAAAGTTTGTGTTACAATAATCATGTCGTAATATATTAATAATTAAAATACACAGAATTAATTAACTTGTCGTTTGTAGGTTGCTCGTGTACTATACAAATTCACTAATCATTCGTGAATTATCTATCATAGCTTTATTATAAACAAGATTGCTGAATGTTCAGTTGATATTGTAATGATTATGCCGATAGTTTAAATATTTTTAATAAATATATTTTTTTATTTTTACGTATTTACGATACACGACTTTAATAATAAAGAGGTTGCTTTTTTGTTAGAATCATTTTAACATAATTTATTACATATTATACAATCTTCATTCGCTAAAAACGATGGTATAAAAAAAAAAAATACCAAAAACTTCAAATTATCTGTAAAATGCTTGTAATTCTATTCACGGTCAAATATGTCAAAAAGTAAATTATTTAATATTTTGCGAAATTGTTAGTTTATTTATCCTTTTTAAAAAGTTAACTATTATGTTTTTTCGAATTTGAGTATAAGTAATTTTTTTGATCTTCTGACCAACATACATTAGATGATCATGTAGTGAAACTTTAATTAGCTTAATTAGACGATTTTGTTTTAATTCCAACGATGCTTTGAAAATCCCAAAATTTTTTAAATTTTTTTTGATATTACGTTAATCACGTGTTATTTTGTAACTTGCAACGAAAATTTAAATTTACATCCTAGAAGTAACCGAAGAACTGGAAATTTTTATCAAATTCATATTATGTCGAATTAAAAAATTTTCCACACTTCCTCTGGCGCTCTTTTCTCACCTAAAAGAATTGGAATATATAATATATATATATATATATATTTTTAATTCGAACGGACTTTCCTAAAAAGGCATCATCCTTGAAGATTCAGTTGATTTACATATTAGGTGAATTAAAAAAAAAAACTTTTGATGGTTTTATTAACCCAAATAGTATAAGAAAGCAGTCGTACATTGATTAAATTAAATTTGACATTCTGTTGTATCTGGTTTCACAATATATAATATATATATAAATACCGATTCACTTTGCAAAATTTGTCTTTCTTTTCTTCAATTTCACTTTCACTTTTTAAAGATATGAATACAGTTCTGCCTCCAGAGTGTTTAGAAAAAATTTTTTTGAATCTGTACAATCCCGCTTCTACCAATACCATCACAACAAAAGATTTACATGCTTGTACATTAGTTTCTCATTATTGGTGTCAAGTTTCAACGCCACTCCTGTATTCTTATCCGTTTCAACATTTCCCTAATTTAAATAAAATTAAATCTAATCATAAAGATGTTCAAGATTATTATAAATTAATTAGAACGTTATTAACTTGTATTCCGCAATCTGAAATAGAAGAAATAGTTAATTCCAAACTATTACAAAATGAACCTATCTCTTTTCCTTTAAAAAGTTCACCAACCTTTAATTACGGTACGTTTATTCATGGGTTACAATTAGATTCTATACTTTCAGAAGTCCTTATTGACCATAACAAGATCTGGATGCCCTCTTACATTCCCAATGACACGATTTCACTAACCTCTGAATTATGCTACTCAATAATCAATCACCTTGTAAAATATCTAAGTGAATTTTGTAATAATTTAACAATATTGGAGATCAAACTATTTACCTTGCATGACAAAAATGTTCACATTAAACCTATGGAAACAATGTTAAATTATTTCTTTGATGATTCCAAAGAAAACAAATTAACCGGTTTAAAACATTTATATTGCGCAATTTCTGGAAATGCTAGAACTCAACTTATGACAAAAGAAGTATCTAATTTATCAAAATTCTACGTTAATCTTTCCTCGCCCACCAAAAACCTCGAATCACTTCATAATGGTAAAATCATTTCTCTTGAACAAGCTAATGCACTATCCTCACTAATCTCTTCGCAAAAGAGATTAAAATCTATCACATTATCAGAAGAAGATTTTCTTCATAGTTTTATTAGAACCGATAATGATCAAATATTTGAAATGTATAATGTCGTGTTTAATACATTAATTACGCAAAGTGTATGGTTGGAGAAATTGGAATTTACTTTGATTTCTTTTCAATATATCAGTCAAGAATCTTTAGAATCGTTATGCTCACTTAAAAATCTTAAGGAATTGAAAATAAAGAGTTGCAATTCTCTTGAAAAGTTACAAGTTTGGGCGAAATATTTGTCAAGACTTGAAGTTTTTGATTATACACCAATTATTCATCCTCAATTACATATTGATGCAGATTGGTTAAAGCAAATCTTTCAATATACTTCAAATAGTTTAAAAAAATTAGTACTAGATTATAAGCGAGAATTTGGTCAAGCTTTACAATTAACTAAATTAATTGCCCTTCATTTACATTCCCTAAACCATTTAGTACTTCCAAAATTATATCCGACCGAATTAATCACTATATTAAAATCATGTACAGAATTGGTTTATATCAGCATTGGGTTATTAGAAGGTGGACAGTGGGACCAAAATTTACCAAGCATAGGCAAATTAATTCCTGTTAGCGTACAAAAAATTCAATTTAGAGAGTTTCATCCTATGGTAGTGAATAGTAAAACGTTTGAAAATTTTTTAAAAGGGTGCATCAATAAAGGTGGCCAATTACATTCTGTAGAAATGACTGGGAAGTACAAGTTAGATCAAAAATATAGTGATATCGCAAAACAATTCGGTGTGAAAGTATTTTGTTAGATTAAATGTGACGAATCTATTGTTGTGTTTAAAGATGATAATTATTTTCAAATTTCAATTGAGTTGCGCCATTTTTTAATTGCAGTGCCCATCTTTAGTTGTTTTGTTTGTTATCTATTTTTATCAATAAATAAATATATTCTTATAAATCTTTACCAAAGAGATATTTTAAAGAATCAACTTTTATCAAGTTAAAATAGTTAAAATCGAGTATATAGAAGGTATGTAACGTAAAGTTATGAAATTTTAGTAAAGTCAATTTCGAAAGATCGTTGACTTATAATTCAAATACGTTATTTTCTGTACTTCTTTGCTTTATATTTATTTATTTATTTTGCTTATATACATTAAATATTTAAGTGGGCGAAAATAATAAGATTTATAAAAAAAAATCTTGTTTAATATTAAATTTAAGTGTTATAATTTCTAAACACTAGAAATGAAAATTTTTCGGTATCTAAGCAAATAATTTGTTCAAAGAACGATTGGATCTAAGTTAATTAATGACCGCTTTTTAAAGTGGAGTGTGTAATTCTTTTTTATTTAAGTCGTCTCTTCTTACAATTTCACCATCAATTATTCACGTAATTCCCTTACAACAAATCAATTGAAATTAACTATGAATAAATACTAATTCTATTAATATAGAAATGGTTAATAGAACATTTAATATTTAGCATTAATTTCAAATATCGAACATCAATGTTTGATATTCACTAATGCGCTGTACATGCAAAATATTGTACGATGATTAACTATTGATGCATGCAAAATATTGTATTTTTATATATTAAATTAATGTACTGTATATCAGGATGCAATATATTCTACAAATCTTACATTATGTATACTTATGTAGTATTATGCTATATTTTTTATTATAATACAATCTCCGGTGAAAAGAATTGCGGATACATTTTTGAAGGTATGAAAAATTTTTATTATTTTTTATTTATTTATTTATTTATTTTTTATAGAATGATACTAATACAAAATTTTTTATTATATAATTAATGTTTTGTATGCTTGAATCCAGTTTTGGCATGTTGAAGTAACTAGCAATAAGATAATTGATGATCATCCGATTATGACAATCATAATCGGCTTAGACTAGGTTATTTAACAGTATAATCTACTTAAGGACGGACAGTATAATCTGCATGTGGTGGACTTAGAACGGATAATTTAAACTATAATGTGACAATGAGAAAAAATTCACGTGATTTTGGCAGTTATTTTTATTACGAGTTGTGCGCCTATAATTACTTTCTGTGATGATGGTGGGTTATAAACTGGTGTCTGCTTGTTGGTCGTTTGTAGCTATTTGGTTTCCAAGTAGATAATTGGATGTTGTCGCTTCTGTGCCGACTTTATTGCTAAGAAGATGGCCAGGTGTGTTGGCACCTTTATTTTAATCCGTGATTCTAGTAAGGCCTTCAGAAATCTGTACGAGAAAATATCATTCGTTTGCAAGTCTTGGAAACGTTCTCCTGTAAACCCACAGCCTAAAAAATATATTTCATTCATACCTTGATTGCGAAGTGTCTCGTCCGACTTCGTCAATACTTCTTTCAAACCGGTTTCTTTTAGATAATAAAACGGTCTATGTGAAAATCACGTCACTGAGCGTTTTATTAATAAAAAAAGCCACTCTGATTA